TGATTGATTGATTGATTGATTGATTGATTGATTGATTTAATGATTTAATTTAATGTGTGCGAGTTATTATTATTATTATGTTTCTGGATCAAGCTGGATCTGACTCATAAGTTGGAGAGTTAAAACAGATGTTTTAATAGCATCTTTAAACTTCAGTAGCAAAAATAGAGATAGAGTTGGTCTTGATTCACTGAATCAGTTGTTGGTTCAAGTCAGTGATTCACAGGTTCATTCACTTAATGGAAAATATTTACATAACATTTATGTATATTAAAATATTTAATTAAAATAAATGTTTCTGTAAATATTGATATTTGAGTCTATGTATTGTGATATTATTTTTTTATATTCTAAAACATATAATTAAAAAAATATTTTTCTAGATATTCTAAATATTTTTCTTTGTTGATAAAATAGTATTCTTTGTGTTAATTTACTGATATAAAACTGATACTGATATAATTATATTAAATGTCATTTTTATTCATAAAAAATTGCTAAAATATATTAACTGAATGCTAATAAATCGATGACAATAAATAATCATTATTTTTAAGCATCAACAAAATGAGTTTATATTGACTGATCAGGTCTTTGTAATGGCTGTGTGAAATGTCAAGCCCTCCCCTGATCTTTGACCTGTGGGTCTTGAGGTTTGTATGGTGTTGTGCTCTGACTCACACCTCTGATAATGGCCATCAGATAACACACTGAATCCCAGAGGCTCCACGTCTCATACAAACACCACACATGAAAGCTCAAGAGTGCCATTGTTTCAGGATTAAAATACCTTAATCTACAGCAGCTTGATATGCAGCGATGACTATAAATAAAACATTAGTCGCTTGATTTCCATGGAAGTATAAACACCGTGTCTCTGTGGCATCAAAACATTGATCTGTTTGTGTGAAAAAGTCTCAAGTCTACTTTTATTTATAGAGCCCTTTCCGCTCCAGAGTAGACCAAAAGACTGTACAGCAACACAACAAAACAAGAATAGTAAAAACAAAAATCAACAATAACAGAAAAACAATTAAAACAATTTACATCTTCCAAATGTCAACCATTAAAAGCCATAGAAAACAAGTATGTTTTCACACAATATTTAAAAACATCAACTGAGGGTGCAGATCTGATGTCAGGTGGAAGCGTATTCCACAGTCGTGGGCCAGCAACCGAAAATGCACGATCCCCCTTAGTTTTAAGGTGAGTTTTCAGAACTGAGAGCAGTAAGCAGTTGAATGATCTTTGAGGTCTACCAGAGTTCATATGAATCAGGTCCGTAATATATTCTGGGGCCATATCATGGACAGCTTTAAAAACGTACAGCAACACCTTATACTGAATCCGATATTTAACCGGAAGCCAATGCAGCTTTTCCAAAACTGGAGTAATATGCTCCCTTTTCTTTGTGCTAGTAAGGAGCCTCGCTGCTGCATTCTGGACCAATTGCAATTTTGAAATAAGAGATTGGCTTACTCCGAAATAAAGAGCATTACAATAGTCCAAACAGAAGGAGATAAATTCATGAATCATTATCTCAAGATCAGCAACAGATAAAAAGGATTTAATTTTTGCAATAGTCCTCAACTGAAAGAAGCAACTTTTCACCACACATTTAATCTGATGATCAAATGTTCAGATTAATCTGATGATCAAATGTTAGAGCCGAGTCAGAAATTACACCCAGATTTCTTATTTGGGACTGCACATTTGTTGTCCATGTACCTAACACATAATTTGTCACAGTCAACCTTATTTGGCCCAAAAATGATTACTTCAGATTTACTCGCATTTAGCTGTAGGCGATTTTGCTCTAACCAGCACTTCACCTCCTCAAGACATAATAACAGAGCCGAGTCAGAAATTACACCCAGATTTCTTATTTGGGACTGCGCATTTGTTGTCCATGTACCTAACACATCATTTGTCACAGTCAACCTTATTTGGCCCAAAAATGATTACTTCAGATTTACTCGCATTTAGCTGTAGGCGATTTTGCTCTAACCAGCACTTCACCTCCTCAAGACATAATAACAAAGATGAATGAGAAGTTGATCCACCAGATCTAATAGGCAAATAAATCTGAATATCATCAGCATAAAGATGATAAGACATAAAGATATTTAAAAAAATAAGGCCTAAAGGCAACAGAAATAGTGAAAACAGAATAGGCCCCAAAATGGAGCCCTGAGGTACTCCACAGTCAGTAGAAACTGAAGAGAGCGAGAGAGAGAGCGAGAGAGAGAGAGAGAGAGAGAGAGCGCTATGTTCCACAAGGTTGATTATTACAATATTATTACAATATTTGTGTAATGATCCAAGTTTGAGTACTGTTAAAATGCTCTGTTATTGCTGTAACATTAAAATAACGCCTAACTAGCTATTTAAAATGACTTTTCAGAGGTGCAATAAGTTATTTATTATGATAAAATATTGGAAAACCCAACATTTTTTCCTTTGGAATACCATGGAATGATGAATTGTCAGCAATAAGACCATTGAACAGAGAGAGAGAGAGAGAGAGAGAGAGAGAGAGAGAGCGCTATGTTCCACAAGGTTGATTATTACAATATTATTACAATATTTGTGTAATGATCCAAGTTTGAGTACTGTTAAAATGCTCTGTTATTGCTGTAACATTAAAATAACGCCTAACTAGCTATTTAAAATGACTTTTCAGAGGTGCAATAAGTTATTTATTATGATAAAATATTAGAAAACCCAAAATTTTTTCCTTTGGAATACCATGGAATGATGAATTGTCAGCAATAAGACCATGAGTGTGTTTTTAGGAGAGTGAATTAGGTGCATTTTGATTTCATGTTGACTTTCACGTGTCTCTAGAGAAGTGTCTGATTTTAAGAGCAGTTCGAGTTCAGTACCTAATTTCCTGAATGACTCTCAGTGTAATAAAAGCCACCAGGAAAACCCAACATTTTTTCCTTTGGAATACCATGGAATGATGAATTGTCAGCAATAAGACCATGAATGTGTTTTTAGGAGAGTGAATTAGGTGCATTTAGATTTAATTTTGACTTTCACGTTTCTCTAGAGAAATGTCTGATTTTCAGAGCAGTTCGAATTCAGTACCTAATTTCCTGAATGACTCTCAGTGTAATAAAAGCCACCACATCTCTGTCATCACACCCCACCTCAAGACTGAAACACCCCAAACACCCACCGCCATCTGCGTCAGCTCAACTCACACACCAGCACGTTTACCTTCTACATGCTCATTTACAGTGTTTGTGTGTGTGTGTGTCCATTTCCTGGACAGCCTGGTTTGATTCTGTTTAAACTGCATCCTCTGATCTCTCCCAGGGGTCAGTCAAAACCAGACACATGATTTTACCATGATTAAAGGCTATTACAGGTCATGACGTGAAATTGCATTTTAATCAAAGTAAAATCAATTAAGTTAAATTAATTAATCATAATAATTGGAAAAAACTTTTTCCAAAATGGTCCTAAAAATTAAAAAATATTTTTATTTTATAATATACTTTTTTATAATTGTGTATAAATGCACCCCAGTTAAATCAATCAATCTATTAAACTAAATTAATGTTTATTTACATTTTTATATTTAAATTTAAAAATATTTTATTTAAATATAAAAATATCTAAAAACATTTAAAATTATATATATTAAAAAATTATAAATTATATTATATACAGTATATAAAAAAATTATATAAATTATATTATATATATTGCTTACGTCGCAATGTTGGAAATATTTCTGTTTTAAACCATGAAGGCGAGCCAATGGATATCACATAAGCAACGTGCAAACTTCGTGCAAGAGTTATGCCGGTGAACGTCTTAATCTTAGTCAATTCACTATGCAGAAAGTGAAAGTAAAAACGTAATGACGGAGCTATCAGCATCTGATGCCGCATATTCTCTCAGAGACGACGAGAGACCATCTACTTCAACATATTATGCTGATAACGGTATATAGCTAACTGTTTTCATTTATTCACTTAATATTTCTCTTGTGGCCCGTACATAGTGAAAAAAAGACGAAAAGATGAAAAAAAGAAACGTATTTCATGTTAAACAGGTTGTTTTTGAAAGTTGGTGCTTGAAATGGCTAAAGCATTTTATTCATTGATTTTAATTGATGACTGCTGAGTTAATATTTTAATTATAGGCCTATAATTCATTGCATATAGACCTGTTTTAAAATACCTTTTTTTTTTTTTTTTTTTTACATTTTAATCGAGGAGTAAATAATCTAAGCTTTTGTTATCCTCGCAGCGCCTCAGTTATGCGGTAGCTAATATTGCGGGGCAAATTAATTGTAATTTTAATTTAATAATAAAAGTAACTTATTAATAATAATAGTCCTAATAAAAATAATTTAACAGGCCTACTTTAATTGGAAATGCCAAATCCTCTTAATATTGCCAATAATTGTTGTTTTTGACAATATCTCTGGCTATTGTTGATACAAGATCATCGTCTTTTGCACCCCAGCAAGAGGAGGTTATCGCGGGGCCTTTCGCAGTGCGTGCCCGTCCACTAGACAGCACATTGCCTGTTACGTCATTTGGGCTGCCTTGTTGAGCGCAGTGGCACTGAGAACATTATATTTCACACACTTAAAGCTCTTTTAGTTTCCATATGTAATAGGATTAGTCCAACGAATCGTTCGGTTTGTAATGCGTACTGAACCCAAAGCCTCGTACCGAACGGTTCAATACGAATACGTGTATCGTTACACCCCATATATATATATACATGTGTGTGTGTGTGTGTGTATAATTTTCCTAAATGGTCCTAAAAAAATTTTTTTTAATTATTAAAAAAATATATATAATTACATTTCGTAATTGTAATCAAGAACTCATTACATTTCATAATCATAATTAAGCAATCAGTCAAATTAAATTGTAATGTTTATTTGTTAAATCAAATTGTATTATTAAAATTTTATTTTAAATATTTAGATTTTAAAATATTAAACATGTATTTTTAAATAAATCAATAATTTAAAATATTTAAATTTAATATTTAAATATTTTATTTTACATTTTGTAATTAAATATTAATGCTGCACATTGGTACAGAACATTCAACAATAAGCTTAGGCAATTACGTTGGCAAAGGAATTGTTTATGATGAATACTGATAATACACAAATATTTATTGATCTGTGTCTGCCATCGCTGCCCTTTTATAAAAGCAATCAGATCACAGATCACATCATGCCTAGCAGCAACCTTTAACCGTGGTAAAAATGACTTCCTCTCGTGACTTTCAGATTAATTCTGACTGGCTGAAATGCACAGTTTTAGACATCAACACCATTCAAAGTTGGTTTCTGAACTCAGGTGAACTTTATCGTACAGTGCACAATTTGTATAATAGCAGTCTGTCCAACACACTACTGTTACTGTACTACAAATAACATAGTAAAACAGGCATCCTCTCCTGCAGCTGTGTCATATCTTAAAAACACTAAAAAGACACTCAAACATGTGTGAAAACATGCATGAAGAAAGTTTGTGAATGATGCATGTCAGTGTTGATGTCACAGACGCTGATCTACAGTGATTCAGATCACAGATTCATGTGTGAACACGTCTATTCCAGCAAATGTTTAGAACCTGATAAGACATTCCTGAGAGAAGCAGAAATCACACACACACACACACACACACACACGTCCACATGTAAACAAATGCTCAGCTATTTTATCGCCTGAGAAATTTAACAACTGACTTCCTTTCAGCTCATGAGCTGGAATTGAATAGGAATGAAATGATGAATGCTGAGGATATGTCATCCTCCCTCAGGCATGTGGGACAGGCAATTCCTGTTTCCTGTAGGATGAGATGCTAGTGTCTTGCTCATGTATCGAGGGGCCCGGTGGGGGACCCACTTCCTGTGACCCGGAGGAAGGATGGGAGGATAGATGGATTGGAACGGAGCTGACAGATATTTCTTGGAGAAGATGTCTGTGAATCTGCACATCAGTTTCTGTTTGAGTGTAAAGCTGAATCAGTTGTGTGATTCACCACACATTTGATTAATGTTTGGGAATCAGGGTTGATGGGAAAAACCCACTTGTGTATTACTGTGTGTCAGCTGACTGAGCAATTTATGACATTTCCTAACACAGATTTGCATAAAATATGCAACTGAAGGAAGCCAAAGTAAAAAATGAATAATGCTTACATCTAAACAAGTGATTTACAGTACACTTCATAAAGAGACACCTGGAATAACACATGATTTAATGAAGAGTTCAGCCAAAAATTAGTCATCATTTACCATCATGTCATTCCAAAACACAAAAGAAAATTTTTTGGAGAAACATCACTCTACTCTTTTCCATAAAACAAAAATATGCAACAACCAGGACCTTTCAAAAAGGACAAAAAGCTCCATAAACCTTCACCAGGAAATAATGATTTTTAAAGAAAACATTCAGTAACTAATTTTCTAAGCTGTAAATAAAATATTATTGAAATACATTTTACAAGAAAATACTATTTTAAACTTTCTATTTAACATTCAGTTTGATTCATGTGTTACTTGCCGTTTTTTTGTCCTTATTTGTGAAGTTTACTAGCGATTACTAGCGAGTGAAAATTTTCAGATTTTTAAAAAAATGTATTTTATTTTTTTTCAGTGCAAGTAGACTTCAGCTTTAAAAAAAAAAAAAAAAAAGAGTACTCAGTACGAAAATAATATACTTTAAAATAATATGTGCAAACTGAATGCAAAGTTTTTGGACGCTTGATTACATGTTACCATTATCGCGGGAAGTAGGGATGCTGAGTAGCAAATCGATGCGTTTTTGTTAGAAAAATATCCATATTCAAAACGTAATCATCACTTTAATGTAGCTTTTAACATTCAGTTTGATTCATGTGTTACTTGCCGTTTTTTTGTCCTTATTTGTGAAGTTTACTGGCGATTACTAGCGAGTGAAAATTTTCAGATTTTTAAAAAAATGTATTTTATTTTTTTTCAGTGCAAGTAGACTTCAGCTTTTAAAAAAAAAAAAAAAAAGAGTACTGAGTACGAAAATAATATACTTTAAAATAATATGTGCAAACTGAATGCAAAGTTTTTGGACGCTTGATTACATGTTACCATTATCGCGGGAAGTAGGGATGCGTTTTTGTTAGAAAAATATCCATATTCAAAATGTAATAATCACTTTAATGTAGCTTGCGCTCACTGTTGTACACGGAAGCAGCTCCGGGCGGATGACGTATGAGGTCAGTGCTGTGCATGCGCCGGTGAGTCTCGTGAAAACCAACGTTTGTTAACAGGAGCAAAGGAAGCAAAGTTTCCTTACTTTAGCAAAGGAAAACCAGTCTCCTCTTGGCTCATATCGAAATCCTCCGACATTCTTCTTTACAAATCCTCGTTTTGTACTTCTAATTAGTGACCGTTGTTTTGTTTTGATCTCTCCGCTGCGCTGCCGCATGTGCAACACTGACCTCATACGTCATCCGCCCGGAGCTGCTTCCGTGTACAACAGTGAGCGCAAGCTACATTAAAGTGATTATTACATTTTGAATATGGATATTTTTCTTACAAAAACGCATCGATTCGCTACAGAAGGCCTTTGTTCACCCCCCGGAGCCGTGTGAGACACTTTTTTTTATGGATGGGTGCATTTTATTTAACTGCTTTTGGACTGAAGCGATGCAACACCCGCTGAGTGGCATTAAACAGCTTGAAAGATCAAAGACCATTTTTACTATAATGCTGACTGGATTCGTCTGAAAGAAGAAAGTCATATACACCTAGGATGACGAGGGTGAGTAATTTATGGGCTAATTTTCCTTTTTGGGTGAACTAACCCTTTAAGAATGCTTTTTTGACCCACTTAAGTAAGACTTGAATACATCATTATTGCTTCTGTTTTTGAAATATGGTTAATGTTTACTGTCAAATGTACTGATAAACATTTATGTTAAACTAAAATATACTTTAATGTCATTTCTACTGAAATACTCATGTATTTAAATATATTTTAGTAACACGTCTGTAATGATGAAGCTGCAATTTAGTATAGTTTTAAAAATATTAACTTTAAATGTAATATTTAAGAACATATTAAAATTCATTATAATGTGCTTCAGTATGTTTATCAAGATTCAGTATGCTTGACAATAGATTGTTAAAACAATGATTAAAATGCACTTTAAAGTCAAACTTGAAAGTGCACTTTTTAAAAGTGTACTTAAGTGTGTTACAGTCGTGAAAGTGTCTCAAAGTAGCCCTTTATTTCATATTAATATTAATATTATTAATATTATATAATCTGCTAGTTTTTCATATACTTTTAAGATTTAAAGTACACTAAAAGTGCACATTCAATATACAATACAATTAAGCACACTTGTTTTTCACAGGGGATAGTATCACAAACAGCAGTAGTTCATATGTTTTCCTCCATCTGTTATTACAAACTCTGCTGGTCCAGTGACGGCATCTCAGTCAAATATCAGCCGTATGTAACTCCTATAACCCGGTCTGATTGAATAACATGGGGCAAGTGTTTTTTTCTGTTGTGTTAAGAGTTCATGTGTTGCTCCACTATCAAACACACCACGCTTCAGATAGCTGAACTCCAAAACCTCACATTCTTCATGTGATTTTACCAATTTAACTCAAACACACACACAGGATATGTTGAAAGCTGGACATTTACGAGGGATGTCTAGATTTTCATCTTGACCTCTGTTTCACAGTTCTGGGTTTCCCACAAATTACTGAGCGCTGCCAGATGCCAAATTTGCT